GGACCCGAGCGTTCCAAACCCCATTCTCGAGCCGGGCCCAAGTAACCAGTCTCGGGTGTATATAACACCTGAACACGTTGAAGGTCAGTCTCACTTTTGCCGGAGCTACACCGCTAAATCAGGTATACGCTAGTAGGAAGCCAAAGACCAATCTTTTCTGCTCAAGAATTACATTCACTGAACGATATTCAGCACACCAGGTAAACCATCCGTCGATGTGTGGATAACATTCTCAACCTCCCTTCTAGTGCATCAGAGACTTCGGCTGATTGGGCCTCGTATATGGCAAGTGTTGACGAAGTGCTTCGATCATTAAATACTGGGGGTTCAAGCTCAAGCTTTATTTAAAACTTGCTCTCCCCATCTTGTGCTTGAGTACATGCAATACATATTTTTCCCGTTCTCACTGTTCATAGACATAGGTTTAGAAAAATTGTGAAAGTTTTCTCGGAAGCTGTATCATCCGCTATATTTACTTGACTCAGTATGTCTTCAACGCAATTTAATGAATCATCAAAGAGAAAGAAAATACATATATGCATTGAATACTTACAACTTCTTAGTTTCGCAGCAGATAAGAAGCCTACTTATACCGTACGAGGACAGGATCAGTTAGTCTACGCTGAAAGTATGAGCAAGACTTCCGATACCAAATCTTCTCCATCCGAACTACCTTCAGAGGCACCTCCGGAGCGTCATTCATCCTCCGTTCCGGTCACCACTACCATCATCCCCATCCTATCAAAGTATCGGAGGGGTTTATATACCGTCTCGTCCACCTTGCGCGATAGGAACTTCAATACCACTGATCGTAGGCAATACACGTTAATTTTAGCTGCATAGTCCGAATCAGGTATCCACCTCGACGAAACCATGCTAATGAAGGCGGCATCATCGAAATTAATGCCCTTGAATTTTAGGAAAATGCGGCGTAATCTGGGAACAAGGGGAAAACGAGATTTGTGCTGGCGAGAGATATCCAAGCTAGCGATGAATTCTGTCGTGATAGGGTTGCGATCCTCCGGTACTGAACCATTGCTTATGATAAGCTCCTGCAGGAGAGGCATAAGGTAGAGGGAAGATATGAGATCTGGATGGGAAATACAGATCCCATGAAAGGAGATCTTGGTAATACTGCATGAAGATCGAGACATGAATGAGTGGAATGCGCGTTTTGGCCACATCCGGGTACATGTCGTCGGATATCTCAGCGCACTTATGTCAAGTTCATGCAACGATGGAAGCGTGAAGGAAGAAAGAGATTTGTTCGAGTAAGCCCGAACCGGTTCCAGCATTACGAACATGTATTGTAAGGTCGCTGAGTGGATTGACAATTCTGGCAGGGCTCACCAAGTCGGTGCGATAATCTAGATGTTCCCACAGGGTAAGGGAAGTTAGATTGGGAGACAAATCGATGATTTTGTCTAGTGTCATGTTCGGCCATGATATCAAGAGCGGTAAGCTGATGCCATGGTAGAAATGACGAACCCAGACCCAGGTAGTCGATATTGACTTGGGATAACATGGGAGCATTTTGAAAAATGCTCAGCCTTTCACCATCTTCGAATTGTGGCTCTATCTCGATTCTCTCCAGTAGAGGGAATTCGGTCCCTTGGCGAATATGGGAATCGATGAAAGAGCTGCCGCCAAATTGTAGACTCTTCCAACGTATGGATTGTTGGATAAGAAGAGTCAACGCAAGAGGCGAGTCGTCTGAGTCGTCATCACCTGCCACATACAAGTCGATATCCAGAGAACATTCCTTCGAGCGTCGGAGGTAAAGCTCAAGCGCGTCGGTAAAGCCTGTAGCGCTCTTCGGTGAGTTCCTACACGATGAGATTTCCAGCTTTAACCGAGACCATAAGCTTGGAGTCGATGTAGCCACCGTGCGCCATCGACTACAAGTGGCGCTTATGGACAAAGCTGGAAGGAATGTGATAGGTGAAGATACAGTGGTAGGCGGGTCTTCGGATTCAAGGGACCAGGGAAATTCCTGAAGCAAGTTTGACTCGGACTGGCAAGCGTAGTCGAAGATTAAACGTAGGATTTCATTGGGAAGTTTTCGAATCGGGGAGCTGAGAGAGCGCAATTTCTCTTTGTGATATGCCAGCCGATTCTGCTGCTGCCCGATAAATAAGATTCGCGACTTGAGATGAGCGAGCTCTATTTCGTAGTCGTCATCATCTCTGTCGCATAGGAGAAGGAGATCTTCAATGTCCTGTCGTTCAAATACGGATGGCCCAGATTCTGAGCGCAGCCTCGTATACAAATCCGAAGAGTCAATGTCTATACGTGGTATCAAGACAGACTTTTTACAGAGCGAGCATAGATTCTTTCTCTCGGCAGACATTTCCAGATCTAGAGTGAAGCACTTAGTTCAATTACAGGTTATCCTGATTAGACGAAAAGAAAGCGCACATGAAAGCTTAAGGGGGAGAACTGACGAAAGAAGTGTAAGTTGAATCTCGAGAATAGCCTGCCGGGACTGCATAAAATCCCGGTTGTCCGCGAAATGGCATGGTAACAGACTACAAGTGGTCCAGGTCCACGGTCCACAAATTCAAGTTGCTTTCTTGGTGAAGGCCCTCTACTTGTGGTGTGGCGCAGGCGTGAACCACTATTCTACTTATGTATCATGGTACGAAATTCTTGAGCCTGGGGTTCAATACCCGCAGCACTGCCCAAATGCCTTTCCGACACTTCCGAATGCTATTCCGGTTGCTCCGATAGCTTTATTTTCCTCCTCGGTATAATGCTTTTAAATCGGTTTATATTCAACTATATAAGAATACACTAGAATGGTTTGAGCAAAGGCTGAGCGCTGAAGAGAATGAGATAAATTGTACGCAAAAAAGAGAATAGACCAAGCTTCGATATGTCACAATCTACAAGGCGGCATGGTCAGTGAGGAACCCAGTGAAAGCCCCAGTGGTACACACTGTAGCTGTCAGATCAAATAAGATAACCGAGTCTATGTATGGTAGAATATTAGCATGCTACTAGTTACATGAGAAATTCAACTCACGAAATGTGCCCCAGCTCCGAGCCACAAGGACTAAAGAAAATCAACCGCAAGAAGAGAGAGAAATCACTTGATGAGCTTGATAGTGGAAACGAAGCATTGGCTCATTGAAGGTTGTTGAGAGCTTGATTATTGAAGATTGAAGTCCGACGTCTTGAAAGGTCTTGAACAACCGAACAGCGTTTTTTGCAAACATCGGAGGCGTTGAATCGTTGAATACCTTGCATAGCCTTGAGCACAACTTAAACGAGGATTTACTTGAGGCTTGAGCTCGACTTGAGGATGATGGTCAGGAGAAAAGATGTTTCAACGAACAACCAACGTGACTCGGACCTCGGTATGATATCAGTCGTTCAGTTCTGAAGTTTAGGATGGATATTCTTTCGCGCCAGGGACTTCCTAGCCCTGTGAAGTACGTGGTACAAAAAAATATAACTACAGCGCCATCTCCATGATTTTAACCCCTATTTAAAATATTTGAGCCCGCGCACCAAAGGAAATTTCGGCCCTTGCTTATCCGAAACCTTTCATCCCGCGCACCAAAGGAAATTTCGGCCCTTGCTTATCCGAAACCTTTCATCCCGCGGTCATCTGAAGGTCTGGCTGTGGAACGATGCCCAGGTAAAGTAATCAGGAGAGTGCAGGTTCGACCCCTTCGGTGGCCATATTATGGACGCGCATGGGTATTGTCTTTTTATCATTCCGTTGTGCTCAAATGTTATTTATAGGTATAAACTTTTCCAAAACTTTTCCAAGCGCTGTACTCTCTCATTACAAGAAATAATATGTAGTATGTAGTATGCGTAACGGTAATACGACTCGGAAAACACTATACATCATCGCTATTGTAGCTACCTCAATCTGTGCTTGTCATAGACCCGGTAAGCGTAACATTAGCCATCTGAACGATAGGCTGGCCCATTGCCTATCGAAAGTCGAAGTAAATATTCAATGTCTAGCAGCACTATAAAGCCTGGACTTACGCCGAGAAGCATAAAGTGAGCTACGTTGATGACCTTGGTACTATTAGGAGAAATTTCCGTCCGTAGGGACGGTAACGGTCTGAAGAAAGCGTTAAGTAAGTGTGATCGGCGAGCGAGTCGCAGTAAAAAACAGGACGACAACTTACAAAATTCTCATAGGGTGGCTAAAATGGGCACGGGTAGAGGATTAGTGGATCGAGTTCATCAAGAAATGAGCTTACAAGAGTTCCCGAGCCCTGATAAACAGGAGTGAAATTGCCCATGAAAAGAGTCGTACCAAGAGGCGACTTCGCGACTATGGAACCCGTGGTGCCAGTTAGCTGACTCGGAGGGCATTCGGAGTCCTGGCCACAATCGTTCATGGCGATGACGATGGAGATGTGTTGTACTGAAGTGAGTTGGTTCTGAGGAACGGTTATGATCACGATACGATGTTAGCAAGACTCAAGATCGGAGACGCTACAGAGTGAAATGAAAAAAACACTCACGCCGAAACCCAGTTGAACGGTGAGGTTTTGTCCTGGGGTAATTATATCACCTTCAGACGGAGATAATAAAACAAGGGTTTGGGAGAATACGGAGAGAGATAGGGACAGGAGGAGGAGGAGCTTCATCAGTGGTGGATTTGTGTTGAGAGTCTGAACTTACCGGAAAGGAGGATTACTTGCTGGGGCTTTATATGCAGCAGTTCTCAGCGGTGACAGATTCAGCTACAGACGTCGCCGCAGTTGAAGTTCCTCTTCGAGTGGTGGTTGCATGATACATTGAACTTTCCCTTTGCGGGTGAGAGCGACTAGTACTCCGAGTCGTTGCTAAATAGCACCCTGACAAACCGGAGAAGGTTCGTGAGGACGAACTTGAACGTAACCACACGTTGACCGCGCAACCTGAAGTCCAGGCTCTTGACGTTGATAAGTTACAAGTTGAAGCCTTATGTAGAATCAGTGTTTGGATATGTGACGGGACGACTCAAGAGCGCTTTATGAGCGCTTTATGGCCGCCTGGCGAAATGGCATCGCGTCTGACTACGATATATGAGCTTGTTCTTGCACATGCGTAATATCAGGAGATTGCAGGTTCGACCCCTGCGGTGGTCAATGTGTGGTCTGTTCTGTACCTTTTCCTTACTTTTTGCGCGCTAAATTATCTTTTTCCTTCTACTTCGACTGTTCTTTTGCTACTGCCATTACCATGGTACTTGATGATCTCTAGATGCTCCAATCTAGCACAAGAATCGGACATTCTTGTCTGTCTCGGCGGTTTCACGCTGCTCGGGTTTTGGCAAGTCAGACCTTTAGGCCAAGGATGCTGCTTCGCGACCCGTCAGGCCTCCCACTGCCTTCAAATATAGAGAGGAAAAGCCGTGCAACAGGCTAAAGAAAAGAACAAAGCTGAAAAGCCAAAGCACGGTGAGTTTTTGTTCATATTCTTTTCTTCAAGCTATCTTACATCCAAACGCAGCCAAAAGAAATGCTGCAGGGGTCCAGATGCTGTCGCGCTCTTTGCACGAGCAAATATTCAAAAACTGCACCTTTCCTTCTCCGCCAAAGACGTACACCAATATCTCACTCGAGCATCTCTCCGCGCATGGCTTGGATCCAACCCAGTCATCGACATTACCATCTACCGAGTTTACCCTACCTCCTTTGCAGGGAAACAACTTGCTTGAGCACTTTTACCGAATCGGAGTATCTTCCTCCGAGCCCTATATCTCTCTCGCCAAAGAATTCTCAGAGACGGAACTTCCGCCTATTCCAGACGATTGGCAACTTCAAGCTGGCTGGACAAAGTACCATCATAGCCCAGATGGTTCAGGATACTGCGAAGCACGTCCCTTTTCCTGCTCACGACGGAGAATCAGAGTCGTTGCTCGCATTCGACGTCGAAACTATGCCCAAATACCACAAATATCCCATCTTAGCATGTGCGGCTTCACCCGATGCTTGGTATGTTTGGATATCTCCTTGGATTCTCGACCCTTCAAACAACTCTCCGGATCATCTCATTCCTCTCGGTCCCCCGATGTACCGCGTATAGTTGTTGGACACAACGTCTCGTACGATCGTGGTCGTGTCAAGGAGGAATATTCTTTGGCAGGCACCGAAAAACCGCTTTATGGATACCATGTCACTTCACGTCGCTATAAAGGGTATCTCCTCTCATCAGCGTCCTGCATGGATGAAATATCGGAAGGAAAAGCAAGATGCGATAGATTCGAGAGATGAAGCCATCGAGGCTGTCGTACATCTGCTTCATGATGTCGAGCAGCAGCTGGACGGTCTTCGTCAGGCAATTGCATCTGGGGTTATGACGACGGGGGAGAAGTTCAAAAGCTGGTTAAGCTGCAGAACAATTTGGAGGAATCGCTTTCTGACCTCCAGACCTCTCAAGCAGAGTCGACGTCTTCATCGGACACTCATCAGCCTGATCCATCCTTGACCGACGCCTTTTTGGATGATGACAGTTCCATCGAAACTAGTCAAAAACGATGGGAAGACATCACTTCCGGTAATAGCCTCGTCGACGTTGCCAAACTACACTGCAACATCGACATTTCGAAAGAAATTCGAAACGATTTCATGACGTCCACTCCAGCTGACATCCTCGACGGTATCCACGACTATATCACTTATTGCGCTACCGATGTGGATACCACGCATGCGGTTTACCGCAAAGTGCTTCCTGAATTTCTTCAGGCGTGTCCTCACCCGGTCAGCTTTGCGGGCGTAGCAACAATGGGTACCGGATTCCTACCTGTCAACGAGCAATGGGAGGCGTACATTGATAGGGCAGAGCGCGTTTGGCAGGCTATGGAAGGAAAAGTGCGAGCTGGTTTGGAGAATTTAACCAGAGCGGCGGTGAAGGACTATCAAGTTTCTTCTCTTGATACGCCGGTAACTGGCCCTTGGCAGGACGATGTCTGGTTAAGTCAGATGGATTGGACACCAAAGGTTGCTGGAAAATCTAGAGGGATCTACCCTTTTGGTGAACAGCCTGTGCGTCTTACTCTCATGTCTATTGATTCTTTTCTGATATACTCGATAGACTAACTCTGATGAGGAAACGGAAACGGAAACAGCATCCTCCGAAACGTTTCCGTCCTGGTATGCCACCGTACTTGCTGACCCGCA